TATATATAAAAATAATAATAATAATTATTGTGAAGAATGTATCGTGGCTTTGCATTAGACGTGGTTTGAGTATTTTAAGAAATATGTAAATGATGTCCATGTTGTAACTATTATCACATTGAAGTTTACCGTTGTTGTTTTTTCTTTCAGATTTATAGATGTTTACAATTGACGCCTTTAACATCGAGGACTATCCGACAAGAAATGAATATAAAAAGTTATATAAAGTCTGTAGTAACCTTATGGTTGTGTATAATATTGGGGCAAGTTCCCTCAAATCTTCTCTATCTGCTTTTTGATTTTTTTTAGTGACCACTTACTCAGTCCTATTTTTTCCTGAATGCTAACAGTAGCTAGCCGGTGTCTCAGTTTGCCATTGGATGTGGTACTTGCTTTTTTTTCGTTCTGTTAAGTTCGCATCAGAGATACTTTATTTATGTGATAGAATGTATTATTAAAATAATAAAAAAAAAAAGCTCTAAAACTAAAACATTATGAACCCAGTTGTTAAATTAAAATATATGAAAGCAGCTAAAGCAGTTGTGGTCTGGTTACTTTGAAATGTCTCAGTGAAATCTCCATAGTTACTCAAATCATTAGCTTTTTGATCTTTTGTACAATATCACAAGTCTGTGGTAGAATTGCAGGTTTTGACAAAAGGAACATTTTCATTCTCTCACACAAAGATAATATTATAGTGTAAACATTTGTTTATACTAATTGTTTCGGATGTAACAAAGCTTTCTAAATTTTGTCTGTTATGATACACAATCTCTCTACTTTAATTGGAAGAAATTCCTGTTTGGTCATTGATGTTATTCTTGTATAATGAACTTGGTTGGAGATTTAAAAGTTAAAATGCTTCTGATTTTTACTCCAGAATGAAAATGCTTTAAAAATGCCATTTAATGTTTTAAAATAGTTTTATAGCCATTTAATTTAAAGTACCTTTTGTTAAATACCTTCAAGTGGACTGTGAGACATTGTGATGACCATTTTTACAATCATTTCATCTATTACATTCTTCATACACAAAGTTGTAGAGGAGACGGAAATATAAACGCAAGTGTACTGAATGGATAAACTTGGTTTTTTTATTTAGTAGACTCGTTAGATTCTGGAAATAACACTACTGTTTTGATATAGCATGGGAAATTACTCTCATAAAGATGCAAGATATTTCGAGAGGGTGTTAGTTTCTCATTAGATGTGTTTAGAGACAAATAGCCAGAAACATTAAGTAAGGTAAATATCGAATAAATATATATTATTTAATGGTAATCATCATGTTTGAAAAAAAGATCAGATCATCAACAGAATTGCTAAAGAACTTACTGGCTAGATTATTATTAAGTGTTATACTGAAAAATCTTTTTTTTATAAAAATTGTGTACGGTTTCAGTCATTGTCATGGATATTAGATTTTACGATCACGAGTTAATTAGTTACTTTTTTATAACTAGATACTAATCACTAACTAACTTTCCTACATTTTGCCTGCTAATTAGTTGTCATATTTAGAGAAATCCTAAGAATGTTTCTGTGGTGGCTGTGATTTGATCTCCGGTTTCTTTGATAGAGGTTTGTGTGGTGTGCACCCAAGATGAGTGAATAATACACCACTCTCTAAAGAAGACCCAGGATTGAATCCTGGCCACTTCCACTACAAAACTGTCCTTCTCAGGGCTTCCCTGAAGATGGCAACTGATTCAGCAGTCAAAATGTAGGTTAAAAACTAGTTAATTATGAACATCCAGTAATTAATAAACCAAATTAATAGTTAGACTTAGATTAACATTTAGACTACTAACCATCACAATGACTAATATCTGATTGCTACAACCTTACCATAAGTAGGAACTGTTTCTAGTTTTGATAGAAAGTGGGCTGTGTCTAGACTAGTACTTATGGTACATAGCCGGCCACGGTTTAAACACATGACATGCAGCTGAAGACATACTGTACTTCCATCTGTAGGCATGTCATTAACACAGACAGTGGGTGATGCCATTTGGTTGTCTTTCCTCTGATCAGCAGTTCTAAATTAGGGACAGCTATATCTGAATCTTAGAATGAGGTTGAAAATACACCAAAACACCTCATTAAAAACAGAATTGTTTCTTACACGACTATAAAACTGGGAAAGGATTTTTAAGTTGTTACATAAGAGACAGAATTTGTGTAATTAAATATGAGAATTGCAACATTCATTCCAGTACTGACCAAGACTTGTTAATATCTTCGAGAAAATAATAATAGAATATACACAGCAGGGGTTCCAGGATATATTGTCAAGATATGATACATTACATACGTGTTTAGGTACTAAATTAAATATCATATCACATCTAGATCTTTTGTGACATTGGTTCAGGTGTTAACTGTGACATTTGTGTATGTGTGTATATATAATTGCGAGTTTTTCGCGTCCAGATTTGGTATTTTTGTGACTGGCTTAAGTGTTAACTATGACAGTTGTATGCATACAAGTATTCTGTGAGGTTTTCAGTGTAACATTATTGTAAGTTAGTTGATCGTATCAGATTATTGTACAACTTATTACAGATATTCATTATTAAGATTAGGATAAAGAAATATCCAATGATGATTTCTGAGTAGAGAGGGCAGCAAAGCATCGGTAATGCACCGTAATTAGTCATATGATTTCGTTTTAAACAGGACAGGAGGTAGGTGGGATTGTTATGTCCATCGAACAATGAGAAAGTGTACGAGAGCTTCAGGTGTTGCCAAACCTGTTTCATACCACATAAACTACTTGAGTAGTTGTGATTATAAAGACTTCATATTCCAGTGCTCACAAGTTTTTACCTTCAATCGAACGCAAGCGTATGGCTACAGTTAACCATTCTTATGTTTTCAGTAGTGAAATTGATCTAAGAAAAGTTAGGCATATTTAGAAAAAGTTAGAATTGAAAGGGCTTTCAAAGTGAAATTTGAACATTTTGTTTTACATTCTTTGACATCAGAACTAAAGACTGCTGGAAAAACGAACCATAAACCAGCATGAATTATTTTAATCGTCAAAATGTGTGTGGCCTTCACCAGTGGGAGATTTGAAAAAAACAATAATAATATCTACATTTTTGCATAAATACCTTTAGTACATAGTTCATTTGAAAGAACCAAAAAGTACAGATACAGCTGTAGAACCTGTAGACTATCATTTGGAAACATTGTATCAATGTGATTACACAAATTCATGGTGGCAAAAACCACCAACAGGATCAAAGTTGTGCAAAAATATTTCGTATATGAACTGCTAAAAATATGGGCTTACTGTCACATTCACTTCGATTATTTGAAGCGCGTGTTTGTTTTGGTTTCATTTTTTCCAGTTATTTGTGATTAAGTTTTCTGCTAACAATAGCTTGGGAACCTAGTTAAGGACAGTTTCGCCATTGGTTTCATATTTAACAAAGTGCCAGAAAAGTAAGCTTGACTTGTAAAGTACACTAACCGTTCGCTCATAAATTATATACACTTGTTGGATAAAAGAGATAAAGTAAATATATAAGTATGTTAAACCTTGTCCTTACGGAAATTTAAATGTATATAAACCCGACTAGTGTTAGTGATAGAATACAAAAAAAAAATCTTTCATTGGTGATCACCACTTGAGGGACTAGCTGATGACCTCTTTTATCCATCATATCGCGTTAAAGAAAAGCGTTTCTAGAAACACTGATCGCTTATTGTAGGAGGCACTGTCTACGTTTGTAATAGTTCAGTCCTAGCAGAAACTAGGTAAGTAAACTTACCCGAAACGGTGATACCAAAAATAATATTTACTGTGCAGTTATATGCAGTGAAGGATAGTGTAACAAAACTTGTTGGCTATAGTATGTGTGTGTGTTTTATATGATAATTATACTTTAAAAGATGAATTACGGTTAATGCTTACTACTACTATAGACCCTATGTGCGTGACGTCATGCATATATTACCGGCAAGCCTAAAAGTAAACCCCGCAATTTTAGACGTACCAAAGAGTCACTGGTAATCGCAATGTAGTTGTTGGTATTGGAATTTTGGATAAAGTACTTGAAATGATAATCAGCTGGGTGGCAGTTAGATGTACAAACAACCAGACAACGAATCCGAAGTTATCGTTTTATAGGTTTCCAAAAGATTCAGAATGTAATTAAATGGACTGCGGCAGTAAAACATGCAGACCCGAACAACATTGTCTATGTAGTTCCCACTTTATATCTGATGAGTACTAGTTGTACACACAATGTACCTTATCACAATTATGTTGCACAGATCTTGATAAAATATGTAGCTTGTAAGTATTTGGTGCTTCCCGTAGTCTAGATACTATGATACAGGCCTGCAAGCAGTGCTAGGTGGAAGGACCCAGTGGGCGATAATAAAGTTTTATCAAAAATGTGGCTTGTCAAAACAGGTGGTTTTAAAACCCAGGGCTTATTTGTGTAAAATATATGGTAATGTGTATTGAAGAAAGTGGTCTTACAAGATAGGAGGACTTAACATATAATACGATGTAGTATATCTAGATTGTAAATTTACCACTGATAGAATATAAACTCAAAACAACTTCAACTTACCCTCGAGTAAGCTATGTAGTTAGATGTTTTGTACACTTTCCACAGTCTGGCCACGTGCACCCAGACAGCCACAAAATATTTGTAATCAACAAAAATTTTATAGACCTCGAACTGCTTTCCGGTATTTAAAAAAGAAAAAAAAAAGTTGTTAGGATTAAATAATTTATATCTATATTATCAACCTGTGGAACTTTAACGTTGGTGTCTATGCCTAACTCTGGTCCTCCGTTTGCAATGATCTGAGGGTCGCGGGTTCGAATCACCGTCCTACCAAACATGCTCGCCCTTTCAGCCGTGCAGAATTATAATGTGACGGTCAATCCTACTATACGTTGGTAAAAGAGTAGCCCAAGAGTTTGCGGTTGGTGGTGATGACTAGCTGCCTTCCCTCTAGTCTTACACTGCTAAATTAGGGACGGCTAGCGCAGATAGCCCTCGTGTAGCTTTGCGCGAAATTCATAACAAACAAACTGTTTGCAATGTCGACTAATTTACTGGCGAGATGTGTCAAGACCGACTTTTGCGTACTTTTCTTCATATCTTGACTTGCACATATTGTCTAATTGGTTAATAAATTCGGGAACAATTAATGGAAAACTTTGTGATTGTGTAGCGGAGGCCATGTTTACACGAATAAAGTTTACGTTCAATGTGGTCACAAATTGTTCCCCAGTTTACTTTCGTCACGTGACTTGCGTAACCTCTATGCGTATTTTGGGTTCTCCGTCCTCATCGTTTAGCCAAGTTGCAAATACCGAATAGTCATTAGTTTTCTGTTATAAAACAGTTTTATTTGAAAAACAAATAAACCATATTAAAAGATCTTTCGGTTTTAAAACAGCTGAATGATTTGCTGTTCCCAAATGTTTTCTCCTAAGATATGATGCAATAATGCCAATTTGCCAACATTAGGTACAGTGTTATCGAACTTAGAACTGATGACAACC